ACATACATACATACATACACATGCGCTTCTACCTGCTCAGTGATCGACTCAATTCTGAACGTATGAAGCTCTCCCCCCTCCCCACTCCCCAGAGGCCGCGCGTCCTCGGGAGAAAGCTGGAAGCCGAACTTCTCCAATGCCTGTTGGAACTCGGCCACTGTGAGCACCTTGCCGCGGCATATTCATCGTAGTCATGAATATGTCACTGTAGCCCGTATGCCCAAGTACATTACCGTACGCTGCAGTATGCTAGAGTTGGTGTACTTTAAAGCGTTTATGCTGTTGCCAGTCTTGTTTCAGTCATTCCCAGAAACACCCGCAACTTCAGTCACTACCACAACGCCTGCTGTCGTGCTACTCCTCGTGCTGCTACCCACACCACTACTGTTCTATTCTCTTGCTGATGCTGCGGACACTCCGAGGTCAGAAAGCAATGTGTAGCCGAGTGCAGCCAGTTCACACCGTCGTGGTCGCTGTCGAACTTCCTGCAAAAGCAGGAATAGAGGTCTGCACAATATCATTACAGGGACGAGCTTAGGACCTCGTTCCCTTTACCCCTACACGGCTAAAGGAGAGTTCCGATGCGTGGCATCCCCAAAATCGAGTTCAGACCCATCTTCGACTCACTACGTAACAGGTCTCCCTAGCCCTAAACTCGGATTGCAGGAGTCTGGAGAGTCAGCGTAGCCGCGGCACCTGAAGACGTCCCGCACCAGCGGATACTGCTGCCGCATGGAGTCCCTGATCTTTTGGAGCACCGCCTCTCCACATCTCCGTGCAAGGGCCGGAATAGAGGGGCCTTAAAAATGGTAGAAGAGGGGGTCTTCTTAAAGGGTTCCTTCAAAGGGATACTAGAAGAAGGGTTTTAGTAGAGGGGCCTTACTACTTCGAATAGGGTTTTGGGGTATACTGTATGTATGCTTGGAAATAAGGAACCTCAACAAAGTTTTGATAATTTTCGGGCCCCTCTATTATACTGACGTGCAGATGACAGAGAGGAGCAAAGTAGTAACGATTGACAACTGTGAAGCAGCGGTACCCATCATCGTCATCGCCGCCATTGACATCCTTCTCCCCACCCTCATCATGATCATTATCACCATCACCTTGCTACCATCATCACAGGACCAAAATGCAGAATCCAAATCAAGTAGTAGGCACTAGATAACCAGCATGCAAGCATACCCGTAAAGAAAAGGAAAGTACAGCTGCATCGACCGATGCAGGTGGACTGCTTTTCTGTAGCACAAGATGTGACAATACCAATGCAATGTCTATAATGACAGGAGTAAGAACTTGCCGGCGTGGCGGCGATCTCCGGAACCTCCCCACTCAAAAGCCTTGCCTGACCTCCTGAGAGACCCCTTGGCCCTAAGAATCGCGATACAAACGGATTAACCAGGTCCTAACTAGGTTGCAACAGCGCCCGGAGGCTGGAGGGCTTTCAGTTTCTCGAATCCCACAAAATGACGACAATCATAGCTAAGAGTAGTTACCGGAACAGTGTTGACTCCACCAGGAATGCTGGAAACCAGAGATGAGGCGTCCAAACACCGAACCCTGTCACGACGTTCGAATGGTTCTGCGCAAAGCGAAAGCATAAACAGCAAGACCATTATCGCAGCTGTGGTGATAGCGGCGACAACTCGGAATGCAAGCCTCTACCGCAGTAAGTGAGAAGAGTGAGTACCTTCATCCGGTAACATCCCGAATCTTGCTTCATCCTTGCTTTCATCGTGGCTGAGCGCCCGCACCCGAAAACTAATACATCTATTCATCCCGGAAAAACCTCCGTGCCTCCAGATCGAACGTTCGCAGCAAAGCATCCGGATTCTCGAAGACCTGGGATGCGAAGCTCGCATCTAGACTCTAGACTGGAGACTGCAGTGAGATGCGCTTCTAAACACATCCAAACGACATCCCGGCCCTACTTCCGGCAGCTTAGCACCCCAACAGCTTCTTTCCGAGACCCAAGTTGCGTTCAATGCAGTGCAAACCCAAGGTTTTGCTGGGGCCAGGATGCCATCTGAAATGCCGGCGTGTCAAAAAGATGACGGTTCTACGATTGAGCCGAGCACTCTAGTCACTCTAGCCCTTTCAACCCCTCTTTGCTCCGACTTCGCACAGGGACAGACTTGCCCCCACGTGAAAGAAAGAACATTCATCACCCAGACCTTCTTGGAGTACTCGTCCATGTCCACGATCAGGAACTCGTTGTTGTAAATCTTGACCACCTTGCCTGGCAAGGGCTCTGTTGTCTCTTCTTTGCTTGAAAGCGGCTGTGGGCTGCAGTTGCCGTCCGATAACACAAAAGGCGGCCTGGGATGAGGTCATTGGGCTGGAAGAGCTCCCCGGTGACCTGGTTCATGTGGACACCTGTGCAACAGATGCAGCATTGCAGGTCAGCTTTTGGGCTCGAGCAAGCCACACCTCCTGCAAGGACAAGCACTTCAACTGCGAATCACAGGTGCCATGCTTGTGGCAAAGAACCATGATGATGATGGTGATGATGGTGATGCGAAGCGGACGGGGATGATGATAGTGATCATACCGATGATGCTTGGCCCCGATGATGAGACTGATGACGAGAATGATGATGATGACGCTGGTGACGACGACGATGACGATCCTGGTCATTACCATGATCTGATGTTCATGACCACGTTGAGCAACATGGAGCGGAGGAGTTCGGCTGTTGGAACAGGAAACAGACTCCTGCACACTTCAGCGCATTTCTAACTTGGGCCGGCACCCTTCTCCAGGAAGCGCCCAGTGACGATACCTCGGCTGACTTCATTGACCCGTTCACATCTATGGTCTTGGCGACTCCAATCGAACCCCAACCTTCAACTTCCAGTCTCTGGGCCGAGGTGCCCAGATTCCTCTGAGGCGGCTCGTGGATGGCAATGGTATCATCCTGCGGGTGCAAAGAATACCTACTGGGCTGTGTCTCACCCAGACCTACGTGTGGACGCATGACAAGAATCCAGACTCGAGGCTGGCGAAAAATCCGTGAAGCGGAAGCTTCCCCCGTAGTCTCGTCCCTCAGCCCCGGGGCCGACAGTGTCCTGCAGGTAGTAGCTGATGACGAAGATGCGATCCGCATCCTCAGCTCACAAAACCTCTGGGACCCAGGCCTCTCTCCCGGGTCCCAGGCTAGGCCGCCATGGGAAATCGAAGACTCCGACAGCCCCAAACACCCTCAACCCCCACTATAGGCTACTGCCCTTATGCACCAGAAGATTCCACCGAACCGTCTTCCCCTGCATCTTAAAGCAAGTCCTGAAATATCCCACAACTCTATGGTCCTTACGGCATGCTACCCAACATATGATAGAAAACCCAGGGTCGGAAGCCCAGACCTTCAACATGCTTCGGAGCCTAATGTAGGGGCCTTAATAATTAGAATAGGATTTTGGGGTATAATATACTATAACTAGAATAGGGAACCACATGCACTCGCATGCTGTCGGAGTTGTTCACCGAAGATCGCTTCGCTTGGAAGTGGCCATCAGTAATTCCTCGTGTCCTTTCTGCACATTCTTCATATCTATTTCTGTGCCCTCTTACTTAATGTCTATGTTTATGCCCATTTGTATTTGTTTATACAGTAGGTATGTACCTGCATATACGTACGTATATGTATATATAGCCACAGTAGATCATTATAGATATACATATACATATTCATATTTGTATTTAGATTCATATTTATATTCATATACATACTCATATTTATATTTAGATTCATGTTTATATTCATATACATCGTCATACTTATATTTGTCTTTATATTTATCTTTGTACTTATTTCATAAGATCCTCGAAGCCTCAAAGCCTGGGCCAATGGCGACCGAGCTGCCTCCGGCTTCGGGCTCGCGAACTTGGCCTTGAAGCGCAGGACCTGAGACGGCGGTCTGCGTGTATATTATGTGTATATGTATATATATATATCTATCTATCTATCTATCTATCTATCTATCTATCTATATATATATATATATGTATGTACTTGTGCGTTCATATTTTATATATATATACATACATGTTGTATTTATATATATATATATAGAGATACATTTTTATTTATTGCGTACTTATCTTTACATATATATGTTTGAGGGAGGGGATTCTGAGGGTTTCAAGGTGTCTGTAGGGCTTCGGTTCCGGATTCGGTTTCAAAGGCCGGTCTGCTTAGCATTATGGATTTAGGGCTCAGATGCCAGGTCTTTGTACGGGAAGTCGGTGTTGAAAGTCAGTGGGGTATGGACAATATCGAGTTCATGTCTCGGTGTCAACTTGCGGTGATTTGGGTTTAGGGTTTAGGGGTGAGGGGTTCATGAAACGCGCCTTCCCTTCGTGCCGGAAGAGCTTCACGAAGTCCTTGCGGTTTCGGATCTTCGGATTTGGGGGACAAAGTCCTGTGAGGTGCTGTTCAAAATCGGCGTCCCGCTTCGGGATCCTACTCGGCAGCAAGTTGTGCGATTGTGATGAACCAAGGTAGCTTCTCCTCAATCATTCGGGCTTAAGAAGGGGAGGTTCCTTCTCTTTCGGTCCTTCTTCGGCTGCTTGGGGATGAGGTGCGTGACGGAGCCCATGGAGTCTTCCCAGGAGCCGTAGCCGGTGTAGGGCGGCGTCTTCGCCCTGCATGTGGCCAACCCCCAGCTTCGAAGGATGCTCTCTAGAAGAGAGGAGCCCTGCAAGTACTCCTAGAAGGGTTTATTTAGGGCTTAGGGTGGAACTTTCTCTTTCTTCTCTTGATCCTGCTCGCTCCAGGTCCTGGATGCTAGCTTGGGGAAGAAAGTGCAAGTGCTGGAGTCAAAGTTCTGTGTTGCGCCGTGGAAGGGAGATTGGAAAGCTTAACACCGCAGAACCGAATCTAGCGGAGCTGAACTGATCACTATGCAGGGGACCCTGAGCAGTAGGATCCTCGTGATTCCAAGCACCCCGAACAAGAAGTCCTTACTTTCCAGAAATCTCATATGAAAGTTTTTTTATCGAGTCCAATAGCTGCAAAGCCATCCTGCAACCCTTGGAAAACCTAACCGTAAGAAACAAACGCATCCCTCATCTCGCGGCTGTCTGCCTGGGCACCGCCCGCTCGGGCAGCCGCACGTCAACGCGCGGGTCTAGCTCCTCGCGTTTTTGGCGCCAAGTGGTGGTTTAGGGTTTGCCTTGTTTGGGGGTTGAGGTGTCAGTTCAAGGCCTGAGCTCACTGTTTCAGAAAGCCGCCCATCTGCGGCCCAATCACGTGAAAGTGTGCATTTATGACGTGTGCATGCATGTGGTCTATATCTTCATCTATATTCGTGCTACCTCTACGGACACACATCATGCGTTAGGCACACAGATAGAAAGACAGACAAATAAAAAGACAGGCAGACAGACAGCGGTGGGCATGAACATATCTATCGATGTAGGTATCTGATCGTTCGCTTGATTGCGTGCATATGTAAGCGCATTAAGAACATAGAACCAAATATACTTAAATTTAGTTGTAACCATGAACATGAGTATATGTACACAAGCATGCATGTATATTAAATATACATAAATTTTAAATGCAAGATTAAAAACAAATGAAACAGTACGTGTATGTGTAGATATATATATATATATGCATGGATGTATGTATGTATGTATGTATGTATGTATGTATGTATGTATGATGTACGTATGCATGTATGCAGGTATGCATGTACGCATGTACGTATGCATGTAGGTATGTATGTATGTATGTATGTATGTATGTATGTATGTATGGGTGGGTAAATGCATGCAAACACATTTTGTATATATATATATATACAATCAGACATACATACAAACAAGCAACACACAGACATACCTACATACATACGAACATACATACATTCATTCATTCGTGCATACATACACACACACATATACGTGTGTATGTAGAAATATATATATATATATATAGGGAGAGAGAGAGAGAGACAGAGAGCTACAGTCCTTTCAAAGTTGACATTAAAGTACATGTATGTGTATGTGTGTATATATATACATACATACATACATACATACATACATACATACATACATACATACATGTATATGTATATACATATATATGCATGTACATGCATGCTCTGTATGTGTGCATATATATGGGGCATGACTACATACGTTGATAACATATCTGACGGATCTGTGATAAAGAAGAAAAGGCCTCCATTACTCACACGCATGCATACAAACATACTTGTAAGTGCAGAGCTCTATATCCTGACCCCCCCCCCCCCCCCCCCCGCGGAACGGCTGAGGTCTTGAGCTTCGGAGTTCAGTCACCCTCCCCCTGCCCACTCTCTTTCAACAGGGGTCCTCCGCACAGGCGGCCAATTCCAGGCCGTGTGTTGGGGGGAATACAACTTGGGTGGGGGCGCAGAAGACACGGTGCACAACCATATGGTTGCATATGCGAATGTCATATATATATATATATACACATATATATATATATATATATATAATTATACTGTATATATATATATATATATGTGCATCTCGTCTCTAAGTCGATGTAGTCTCTTTCTCGCACCCCTTGCCCAGCTCTCCATGCCGAGCTCGTTCACGAAGTGGCGCCGTGTGAACCTGAGCTACAGGTGCATCCTAGACGGTTTCGGGTTTAGGAGGTTTTGTTTTTTAAGGTGTAGTGGTTTAGGAGGTTTAGGGTTCTGGGATGTACGACGGATGGTTTGGGAGCTCAGCCGCGGGCTCGTCTGCATCGTAGATGAAGAACGAGTAGGTGCCCAACAACTGAACCTCGAACGCTTTGGGTGACGATAGTAAGCACGTTTTAACACTTCGGGGGACTGGACTTTTCGAGCCTTGCAAGCTCGACAATCTCACCTTCTTACGGAGCTCAAGGCAGTGCTCGCAGACAGTCCTTCTTGTTGTTGAGCAAGGCACAGTCATGCCCACTCGGAAGTCGTGGCCATGAACATACCTCGGAGGTTGCGATCCTTGAGCCTCTTCTTAGGATTGTGAAGACCATCTGTGGCTGTATTAGGCTGTATGAACGCTGCCGTCAGGGTGCTCGTTCTTCTTGCGGGCTTGTGCTTGAGGTCCCTCGACCTTGTACGCGCCCATGGGCATCTTCCCCTTGCGGAAGAAGATCGGGAAGTTGTCCCTGTCAGCTGCGAACTCGCGCTGAGTCCAGTCGCAAAATGCAGAGACTTGTCTCTTTGTCCTGTGCCGAGCCTGCCACAGTTCAGCGGGTACTGCTCCCGGATTTCGATCATGTCGTCCGCAAGGAAGAACATAATAGTAAACGGCCTCGTTCGGTTCAGGAGTGGGTCTGCGCCGCGGATGTGGCAAGCATTCACCATCGCCAAACGCAAACGCTGACACAGCAGTTGCTTCTCGTGGAAGCCAACGCTGCATACCCTTTCAAGACTGACACCCTGTGTACACCGAAGTTCTACGCTGTTGTGTATGGCGACGGCTGAGCCCCACGCCGTCGCTCAAACTGAGGCGTGAAGACCTGAGGGCATCTGCCAGTTCAGTGTTTCCTGCTCAGGTTCCCTGTCAGGGTTCGACAAGGATTCTCTGAAGGTTCTGTCCCAAAGGGCTCCATGAGGCTTGGGCCCCTACACGTTCGGGGTTTAGGCTTGGATTTTCGGGGGGGGGCGGGGGCTTCGGGCTGCTCAGGCATAGGGGCATTGATGCTTCTGAGCAGCGGGACTCCTCTTGCTAAACTCGCCCTGTTGCTCTTGCTAGTTGAAGTCATCCTGTTGTGATCGGTGCTGGCATTACCAGTATCAGTGTTAGCAAAATGTCAAGAACATGCCTGGCTCCGGCTCCTGTTATGTCGACTCGTAGAGCTATAACTTTGCCCTTGTATCCGGATAACAAAGCTGGAAGATGCATAGAGGTGGTAACAACGAAGACATTTACTAACAACTCTCACGGTAATGAGGAGAATCCAGACATGTCTTCTACGTTCCTGCTTCCGAAAGCCGAATCGGGGCCCTGACATCATCTACGACGGCGAAGAATCTCAGCACCTCCGGCGAGCAGGGTTCTGAATTCTGTGGGGCTTACGGTTTGCTATAGGATTTGGGGTTCGGCAGATTATATGGCTTGGGGCTTAGGGCTTTGGGTTGGCTATAGCGGCAACAGCGTTTTTTGTGGGATGCTGGGAATAGTTCGGCTAGGTCTTGGCAGGGCGCTAACCATAAGAGAAATATCAGGACACTTTGCTTCAACAAAGAGCGCCGCTCCTAAACCATTATACGAGCCTGCTTCAAAAGGGCTAGACTCGCTCTGGCTCAGGGCTCAGTTAGCTCTCAGGGCTTGGGTGTTTTTGTTGAGCTCCGCGTTGGAAGGCTTTGGGATTTTGTGTCAGGGCTTCGTCTCTCATCTACGAATGTAGTGCATCAGCGTTCAGTGAAGCCCCGTCGTGGGCGCTTGAAACAGGACAGTGAAAACTTCACGGCCCGACCCGAAATGACCACCACCCCTTTACCAGGCCCTCTTGTCGTTCTCCAAGAACTGCTGCATGTCAGCGTTGATGTGGCCACCGCCGAGCATCACCTGCAGCTCCGAATGCTGCGAGTGGAACTATTGTCACTCCGATGATGATTTGATTTCAAGGCCGGGGCCTTTTTGCATGATGGAGGTTTCTTGCTCGCTTGAAAACTCGCTGGCTTTGCACACCCCTCCGTTTGCCAATCTTGGACGTGTTCGCCGAGTTAGATCTGCAACTTATTGGCCCAAGGGGTCCTCCTCAATTAGTCTTATCGTTTGAGCAGCTAGTTTGATTCGGCTGCTTGCTCTATTCACACATGTACCATCTGGGCCTGCGCTCCTTCGAACTTCTCTGGATTTTTGTATCGCCTGAATTAGCTTCTAAGGTTAACTGCTTTCGGATGGTACAGAAGTAGCTTTCATCGTCTGATGTCACCGAACACGTACACATGAAAGCTTCCGGTGTGTCAGCCCGGCCTCTCTGTAAACCTTTTCATAGGTCCTTGGCTGGACCGGCGCATGGTTTTTCCTTGGTGCAACGGATTCAGGGAGGCTGCTCTCCAATGAATATGAACCTCACCCTAGAGCTAAAGCCCCATGAGAAAGCCCCGTGGAAATCGACAACCATGCGCCCAGGAGGAAGTCGCCTGCAGCCGACACAGGGAATGACGAACTTGAACCCGACTTAATCAAGCCTGAATCCAGGATTGTCAAGTACAGCCGCGAGAGACTCGTCTGTGTGTTAATGACGATCCTTGCGTTTCAAGAAGCATAGCCTCGCGCGTCTCCTTCGAGGGATTCGTTTTCGGGTGTCTTCGTGTTAAAGAATGACATGAGCTGCCGGTGACGAAAGGAAAGAAAATGCCACCACCACGAGGCGACAAACCCAAGTTCAACCCTGCCCCGAAAACACCTGAGCATTCTTAGCTTCTTACCCAACCCCCTACCTGCTTCGCAGAAAGCTTCCGAAACCTAAACCCCTGGACCCCTAGAGCCCAAAAGTCTTCCATCTGGCGCTTAGGATTTGAACCCTAAACCCTAAAGGGGGTTTAGGGGTACCAGAGGATTGGGGTCCTGGAAGGGGTCCATCTCCTCCGGCTCCGGCGGCCCCTGGGGGTCCCCGGCGCTCTCGTAAAACTCCCTGGGCAGCGCTTTAAAAACGGGACTAAAATTAAGAAACTTAAATTGGATTCGTGTTAACTATTTTAAGTATTTCTATTAAATTACTGTACTTGGATTAGTGTTAATTTTTTCTAGTTATTTCTATTAAATTGTTTTTATTAAGATTAAAGGGACCTTGGGGCTTTGGGGCTCAGGGGCTATTGTAGGGCTTAGGGCTTTGGGGAGTGGCTTGGGGTGTTGTCTTCCTTTACAGCTCCTGTCCTCATGGCTAAGCTGGAATTCCACACAAAACTGGAGATAGCTCGGACCTGGGAACTAGGGCTTAGGGCTGCGGGTTTGTGGGCCTTCAGGGTTACGCTTTGTTTCTCCGTGCTCTTTCTGGGAGAGACGTGCCAACCAAGATGCACAAAAACTGAACTTACAGTAGCAACAAGAAAGCAGACCATGAACAACTGCCAGTACTATTACCATGACAAGATACACTTTGACGTGGACAAGATACAGCACACGGTATGTTTGCGCCAGGGGGAATGCAAACCTAGCAGCTTCTGCATTTCACGGCTCCCGGAGTCTCCTGCTCTGATTAGTCTTGCCCTTGCGAAACCTGGCTTCTTGTCACATGATGCCCAAACACTGTCAGAAACCAGTCCCTGAACAGCAATTGGCAAGGACAAGGTGGAAATCATCGCATAGATCTGATTCCCCGGACGCCCATGTGCGCACCGCTACGCCGCCACAACCTGAGTCATCAAGAAAAGGGAGAACGGCCTGGTAAAGGGGTCGCAGTCCGTGACGAAGATGCTACGGCCGTAGATCTGAAGGGTAGAGCCCACTCGGATATCCTCCCACAGAGTTCAGCTCTGGGCTTGTCATTCAAGGCGATGCTAATGAGTTGCTAATGCCGCTGATGTTAGCGAACTCCATTCAACTTCTTAAAACACGACCGTCTTGAGAATGCCCTGCTTTTGTCGGGGCAAGGAAGCTGGCGCAGACACACAGGACTTCCTCATGGAATCTTCAAAAAGCGGCAACGCCTCCGTTTTGAGGTAGCCTCCGGCGGCGGACGGAAAGCGATGTCGCCGAATGAGCTGTCCTCAGGTCGCTGCATGGAAAAAGGCACCCAAATCAGAAGCTCACGTCCAAAAGCCCGCATGCCTGCTGCAAACGACTGGCTTGGGGGTTGAATGTGGCTCAACCGTATGGTACGCTGCAGCCCTTATTGCTTATGCTTGTACCAGAACTTCCGAGGCCTGCCAAAGCACCTTGAGTTGCGAACCCTTCACGTCTGGCCTTGCGGGATGCCGCTGTTGTCCTGCTTCGGCTCGATGATCTGGCAAGTATCATCCTCGCAGCGGGAGGCCCTTCCCTTTTCCCGACAATTTTAAGGCTTTTAGGACAAGGTGGGAGGACTTCGAGGGTTGGAGAGGCGTCTTGAGCCACTGCTGAGAAACAGCATCTGGAGGCTTCTTTAGGTTCCTTAGGTCCCTACGACATAAGGCAAATATTGCAAACCGAAGTCTGATCACCACACAAACTACAGCCCGCACAGCCCTGAGCCATAACACGGCTCTGTCAGCATCATGAATCATGAAGCAAGTCGTTCCCAAAGGGTCGGACTAGAAGCACCGACGCTGACTTGCCAAAGAATGACCATACCAGAGCCTCAAACCCTTGTGCCAAGCGTGTCCTCCAGGTAGTAGTAGATGGTTACTTTCCGAACACCTGGTGAGTTCCATGGGCTTCGAAGGCCAGAAGAGCACTGAGGGAGATGCGATGCTTCGGGGTTTGTGGCTTTACTCTGTTGAGTCTAGGGATATTTGGACATATTTGGACCTGAGGTGTATATGCTCCGGCGCAATCCCGATGGAGGTGTCTGAGGCTTCGTGACATCAAAGCACTGCGCTTGCACTGCACCTGAACTAAACCAGGGAGCGGAAGTTTTCCAGGTTCGTCTCCACTACGGACTCCTGCGTCTTCAAGGCTAAAGGTCAGGCACGGAATAGCCAGCCATTTGATTCCTATCTATTCGCGTGACAAGGCAAAGCAACTCCCACCGTGGCAACAATGAGACCAATTGGCCCCCCCGTCTTAACAGCAAGGGTTCAAATCGAAAGTGGAGAGCGGAAAGCCGCGATCCGACTGTGGCGAATCCTTGAAGTAGCCGCTAAAGCGCAAGACGTGGCGGTCGAAGGCGTCCCAGGCCGGCAAATCCTGGAACTGGATGTCGGCGCCCGCCTTCAAGCAGCGAAACGCATGCTTGTCGGCACTGATCCCCGCGGCCGGCATCATCACTAGCACACCACCAGCACCACCACGGCTAACACCAAAATCACAGTCACCGGCAGCAGCATCTACTTGCTAGCATGATCGTACTGTGCCTTTGCTTGTAGTCTTCATCGTTCATCTGCTTCTTAATCATCCTTATAGCTAACCTCCTCGTCTTCTTTGCCCCCGAGTAAGAAAAAGCACCAACAACAATACCGACAATACCTATGATTGACACCGTAGTCACCACTTGTTCCATGAACATGACGGTGGCCATGACTATCAGCTACTCTGCAAGAAAGTGACGTCTTCCGACGCCGCTTGAATTGTCTGAGGTGCCGAAAGTTGCAGGGCTTCCTCCAGGCACGTACATCCCCAAATGTCCGAGTGGCATTCTTGAAGACGGCGCGCGTCTGACTATCGGGCAGGGAGCCGGACCGCCAAACGTCCGGAGCCTTGCTCACCTGCAGGGTGTTACTGCCGACAAGCACCTTATGATGGTGCTGCTGGTGATGGTGATGTGATGCTGGTGATGCTGATAATGATGATGATGATGATGGTGGTGATGATGGTGATGATGCTGACGATGATGCTGCGCACGATGGTGGCCAGGATGAAGGAGGAAGGGGAGGAGAGTTATCTTTTTCACGCCGCTCATCTTGCAGTGATGCTTCCCGACCTCAGCGCCCGGCCTTGACGAACTTTGGTTTGTCGAAGGAGAGACCTTCCTTCTGTTCGATGCGCACGCCGTTCACCACATTCCTGGGGTTGAGGGGGTTCAGGCTCCCAGCTTTGAGAGAGCCCACCTGGGCTGACGACCTTCTGTCGGAGGCCGAGGGTGCAAGGGTAATTTGAGGGATCTAAGTGCACTCACGCCTTTGGATTCACACTGTTGCAGCAAGGTCTCCAAGTGTTCGGCCTGGCATAATTGTCCTTGTACCTGGGACTTTCGCAGGTGGTGCTGTGCGATTAGGTAGTGGGTCAGAGGTCGTGGGTTGCTGTCGCGGTCAGACTTGCAGTCGTGGCTCTTGCACTAGCCTACGACAGCAAAAGCAGGCAGCGAGAGCAGCAACAGCAGCCGTAACTTGCTCCTATGACTCAAGCAAACCCAGGTCGTTCTGACGTGAGACCTATTGCCTCGGTGCACATACTCCACCAGTCCCTCCACCATCACACACCCGTCGTCGCAGTCTCCGCATAATTGGCGTCGCTGCAGTGATTGTTTGATACTGATTGCCAAAAGGACGAAGCGCTCAGCACCTGATGCTAGAAAACCACACGCTGAAACGACCCACAAATTCTATATACCATGTGCCTAGCCGTGAACCCTTAAGGGGCCTTCGAAGCCCTAGCCCCGACATCAACAAAGCCACAAAAACCTTGCTCAATGAGAACCTCAAAGGCTCCGGGTCTGTCGACTTCGCTGCTATGGCTGATTCTGAAAGGACATCCTATTCGACTCTATATTGCCTTATGTTATAGTGTAGTTTGTCATGTTGTAGTGTATTGCACTACAGGAAACTATGCCATATTTTACGATAAAACATTATGCCATATCATACGATATTACAATATATATATATATATATATACACTGTATCTTGATATGCTGCATTCTTTTATATTATATTACATTATAATATATCTTGATGTGCTATATGATATTCTACTATAATATATTATGTTATGCTTGGATATGTTGTATTGTGTTTTTATATCACTCTATATTGTATTATGTTCTAATGATTAATGTTGCATTATAGTATACTAGATACGAAATTAATGTTACATGTCAGATAAGTCATATACTGTATCACAACGTACTATACTATACCGTACTATATTGCACTACATTGTACTATACTATACTATACTATACTATACTATATTATACTATACTATACTATACTATACTGTATAATTCGATGTTATATTATAGTATGTCGTAACAGTTTATACTTGTATACTGAACGCATTTAGCACATATCATATTGTACCATGTTATATTGTGCTATGAACAATATATATATTGTATTGTGTAACATGTAATATTTTATATTTCTCCTGTAGTAGTTTACATATTTGTCATATCTTGTATATTGTATGTTGTAGGTTGTATGCTATATAATATACTATAGATTATAAATGCATGTACTGGCTATTTCACGTAATATATTATGCAACATATAAACATATACATATATACCTATACATATATACATATTACCATTATTATTCTTATATATTGTATGTTGTGCATTGTAGGCTTTATAATATATACTACAAACTGTACATGATATACATCTTATGATACACTGTATGTGATATGTTATATGTGACAAGTTGTACGTGATATATTGTATGTGATTTTGTAGCCCTCGTATATAATGTAGTGTCATGCAATAAAAAAACAGAATACATTGAATAATAATACAACATCGTATATTAAAGTAGATTGCAATAATACAATTTTTTAGTCTGTTATCGTATATTATACCATATTATGGTATGTCATGACATGTTATATATTAACTTTTCTCGTTGTATGCACGTACGTAGGTACGTGCGTAAGCACGGAGGCACGCACGCACGCACGCACGCACGCACACACGCACGCACGCACGTACGTACGTATGTAGGTGTCTAAACATATGCATATTATATATATATATATAGATACCGTATAGACATGTACGACGAGCCCCTATAGATGGTATCGTAGCAAATTTATCTGTCCAGATGCTGGACGGAGCGGGGAGCGAAACGGAGGAGTCGGAAGCAACAGCACCTCTGCCCAGGGCCCGCGCTCTGGGAAGGTATAGCCCGGAAGGTTTGGCAGCGATTTCAGATCTGCTGGTGACACTGCCTTGGATGGCAAAGTTACATTCGTGCCTTCGATTTTGCAGATCGGCAGACTGAAGTCTTCGTCATTCGAAAACTCATGTACTCCAAATGCTGCTGCCTGAAGTTGAGTGCGAGTCGCAGATGTCATGGCGACAGGGACCTGAAAAGCAAGGCCCTGCCCCGCGAAAAAATCACAGCTGCGAGCCCAAAACGGCGAGTCCAGGAATGTGATTCCGAGGCGTGCCCGACAGTGTCTTTACAGGAAGCACAGCGCAAAAGAGGAGCGAAGTCCCGTCCAGTCGAATTGCACAGTGCAATCGTGCCCACGTCACACACCACGACAGGGCCCTGGCAAGGTACATCTCCTCCTCACCCTCCTTCTCGGCATCCTCGCGCTCCTCCATCACCATGTCCTCCATCTCCTCAAGTAGCTCCGGCTCCTTCACGGAATTTTGTTCCAAATGGGACTGCTGCCGCACTCGCCGGTAATCATGGACACAAAAGGCCGATTTGGCCTAGACATGTACTGTAAGCTTCCACCTGCATGGGCGACTCAAGCCGAATCTTTAGCATACGACTATCATCCAAATATATGTATATACGGACTACTTCAAGGCTTCACTCGATTCCGAAGCTCAAAATCACTCCAAGTGAGGTCCTCAGCCTCCTTCTTCTCGGCCTCAGTCTCCTGATCGGGCTTCTCGTCGGGCTCCTCATCGGGCCCCTCATCAGGCTCCTCGGGTTCCTCATCGGGTTCCTCATCACCCTCCTCCTCGGGCTCCTCATCGGGCTTCTCGTCGGCAGGCTCCGGAGGAGGCCTAGGCTCAAGCGGGACGGCTGCCCTGTGCTGGGCAACACGCGTGCAAAAACCCACAGTTACTCGCAGTGTCTGACGTGCTTCGAGATGCAAGGATACAATGTTACCTACGGCAGTCCTTCCGTAACCGCATGCAATGTGTAAAAACAAAGAAACGAGTGCATCTGCCCGTCAAACTGTTTTTTATTTATTCCTGTCTTATTTAAGTATTTCGGTAATTCGTTCGACCGTCCTGCATTTCCTTCCTTCTTTCTTTCTGTCAATACACTACCGCTCTATCTTTATCTTTATGTACTGTCATATTTCTATCCTTCCATCCTTCTCTACCTTTCTATCCTTCTATCCTGCCGATGTCCACCTCTCCACGTCTACCTATCTACCTAACTCCCTCCCTGCCTGCCTGCCTGCCCTCATACCTATCCACCTACCTGCTTCTGATCATGACAACACTAGGAACACAACGGCAGCAGGAATGAACTATGATTATAACGAGGAACCCCCCACAATAGTATCGGTAAATATTTAGAGCACGGGTGGTTGTAGGACTTTTGGTGCCGACTGCCGCGGACTTCCGAGGTCCTGACTCTAAAGCCTTCACCTCCGGCTCCTTTCCAGGCCAACTTAGGGGCCGGGCCCCGGTGCTTTTCAAGAGGTTTTGAGGTCAGAGTAGACTTGTCGTAACGAACCCTGAGCAACGATACCTAAGCATTGAGTTTTCAGGCTTCGATAGTTCATCCTGAAGTGCTCAAACGGGCCCCTTAGATGGCTTCCAAGGCTTGTGGGTCTTGACAGGGATGAAGGATCTTGGAGGTGGAGTTCGAGCGCGACGGACTTCAGGCTCACCTAGTGCTCGCAAGTCTATCTCTGGGAGCTTACGCCTCGGGGGAAAGACTGCTCCGGATCCAGGGCTGAGCCGATGGAATCCAGAGGGCTGACTACTTAAAGGATCATGGGACT